AATAAAAAATAAAAAAAAAACTTTCAAGTCATTTTTGGAAAAGAAGCAGGAGGAAAACAAAAGAAACCACCCAAAAACAAATCCAGAAAGGAGAAATGTGTTTGATTTTTCTAAAAACCTATTGCAAATGATGGGAAAAAAGATCTTTCCCTGTGCTCTGAGCAACAGCTCCACCGGGGATCTGGCATCCCTCGCTTTGGTTTCGCTGCCTTACCCCGTGGCCGGTGGGTATTTACCTCCAGAGCATCCAGCCAGGGCTGGTGCTGTGTTCCCATCTCTAAAAATACCCCGTTTCTACCTGTTTTCGGAACAATCCGGGGCAAGAGGGCTATGCTGCTCCCTGTCCCTGCTGGGATGGTTTTCACCCCAACCAGGGAGATTTCAGCCGAGGGATGGCCCGGCTGTGAAACCCCGTAAGGGACCCCAGCGGAGGGCAAACACCTATCGAGGTCTTGCATCCTCCCTCCCATTCCCTCCCGAAAAACCAAGCCTTGTGAAAACCAGCCTGACGCTGGCGTGGGTTTGCCCTTCCCCGCCTCCTGCGTTCATCGCCGTTAGACTGCAAACATTTAAAGCAGAGGCTGCCTCATCCCTCGCCTTGGCACAGCTCCTGGCACGGGGGGCAGATGTTGGGATCCCCTGGGAAGGATGAGTTGGTTGGGGGGGGTGGGGTGGGAAATGACTTGAAGTAGGACCCAGGGGTTTGCTTCTCCAGTGGGAGGGTGGTTTACCCTCATTTTGCATCATTTGGCATTTCTTTCCTCCCCCCCCCGCCCCTCCTTTTCTGTTAATGTCTCTCCTCTGGAGCTAAATCCTCAGCAAGAGCAGCAGGGGCCGATCTCCCTCCGCCGGTGCCGCAGGGCATGGGAACGGCCGGTCTTTGGGGGTGGATGCTACACTAACAGCAACCAGAATTGCTTCCTGAGATAAAAACAATAGTCTTTTTTCTTTTTTTTTTTTTCTTCCTGTGTCTGTTCTTCCTTAAATCCTGCTTGCTGCTGCT